ATGCGGCGACTGGTTGTGTGGCACCTTGCTGTGCCACTTGCACTTGCACTTGCACTTGCACTTGCACTTGCACTTGCACTTGCACCGCGCACACTACCGGAGAGACATCTTGGGCCAAGCGCGCCGCCAAGCGAGGCAGTGTACCAGTGTAGTGTACGCCGCGAGCGCGCGCCGGCGCTCGCCGCCAAGACTAACAACCACCGCACACCGAGGCCAATGCAGAGCCGGCTCCCGGATGCATTTCGTGGGCCGTAGGTCTCTGTGGATCCGTGGCATGGGACGAAACCGTCTGAATTCAGCCGTCCGCGAGAATCAGGACAACGGCGCGCGCTCAATGGTCACACAGCGGCAGTCGACACGGCTGTGGGGTGTCAGTCACCGTCGGGCCGTGGATGTGGGGTAGTGACTGGGGGGATAGAGGGTGGTGAGCGCCGGTGGCCCGTCCGAAAGCGATGGCAAGCGTCGGAAAGCGCCGCCAAGGCCAAGTCGTCACGCCAGTGGCCAGTTACACGCGACAAGCGTAAGCGACGACGGAGTGGAATGCACGCTATCCCTCCAGGCGCCCCCTGCACTAAGGTCGTTCGTTCGCTGCTCGCCGCACGCTGCACGCCGCTCGCCGCTTGCCGCTCAGCATTCACCGGTGGCCGCCGGCTCGCCGAGCACGCGCGCAAGCAGCCAACGCGTGGGACGAGTCGTGGACACATACGGCTCCAGAGTGAAACAGAGGGCCATCCATGCCCATATGCTGCCACACGCACGTCCAAGGTGGTGGCGGCACATTGCTTCGAACCTCGGCGTGTCTCTCTGTCCGTGAATCCGTGAGCCGTGAGCCGTGATATGTGATCCGTCGGTTCTCGCCATTCATCGGCGATGGTTGCTCTGTGATCTGTGGCACACCACCACCTTTTTTTCGGAGATCAGCGGCGGCGGTCCGGCCGCGCCGTGGGGACCGATGACCGACGGCAGTGCGCGTGTCGCCGGTGTGGTGCAGTGCGGTACGTGTGGGTGTGGTGCGGTTGTGCGGTTGTGCGGTTGTGGGTGGCGGTGTGGCGTCCGCCACCGGCGCATGTCCGCCAAAAACGCCCATTCTGACCAAAACCTCGTTTTCTGTTGCGCTGAAATAAGGGGGGGGGGGGCATGACCCGGCCGAGAATACGAACACGAAACGAGACATGGCGCGCTTCTGTGGCCCTGTGGGCCCTGGGAGCGCAGTGTGCGGGTGTGGGTGCGCGTGCGCGCGTGCCGGGGCTTTGCTGTTATTCGCAGGTTGATCCCCGATGACCGCTCACCTCCAAAATGGAGACCGCCGTGTGGCGTGGGAGTCGGGGCTTGCTGCGGCATGCACCCCCCTCATGGGCATGGGCCGTCCATTCCGATGAACACTGTGCCTCGCGGCCAGCGAACCATATGCGCGCGATAGTCCGCTGGCCGCTGGGTCGGGGACTCGGCGGCCGCGTGGGGTGTTTTTGGTGCTGACTGGCGCGGCGGATCGGTGGAATCATCGGTGGAATCGGTAGGATCGGTGGGATCGGTGGCTCGCCGCTCGCTCATTCTCGCCGACCGCACCGAGCACGCCGGGCAACACACCGCACCGACCACAACGTAGCGGGCAGCACGCACCCGGGCCGGCGGCACGTTCGACTGGATCTCAGGAGGGATGGTGTTAGTGAATACCATACCCCCCTCCGGTATCCCGGACCGGGCAGCGGTTTGTGGGGACGAGGGAAGGGGGGACGTGGGCACGCGAGGGGGGTGTGGTGTGGTGGACGGGAACGCGGTGGAACAGCGGAACAGCGGACGGCATGCGGATCTGCCCTGGGGAAGCGACGTGATGGTCAGATCAGGTTCAGGTTCAGGACAGCAAGGAAGGAATATGGCGACATGGCAACATGGCATGGCCTCTCAATGAATGGGCGGAACAAGTGGGACATTGCTCTCGTTCTCCAACCCCAGTAGTTTGCTAGCGACGTCGACGTCCGCCCACAGTTCCGTCGTCGCGGATGGGGGGAGGAGGCGAGCGGGCGCCGACAGCGCGCAGCGGGCAAGCGGGCCGAACAGAGCAACAGAGAGAGCAAAAAGCGAAGAAGGCCGGCCCAAAAAAAAACACAGATCACAATCATTTTTCAGAAAGCAAATAAAAAAATAACCGGTCGGTGGCGCCTTCCCTCCACCCTTTGCGTCCGTCCTGATGGAAAAGACGCTGCTCTTCTGATGGATGGAGACGGCACGCTGGGAGCGGCCCGCCACGTCCGCTCAGGCTGATCCGATAGACACGGCCACGGGCGAGACGGACGAGACGAGACAAGACGAGACAAGACGAGACGAGAAGCAACACTCCACATTCGACTAAAACTGCGCGCACGGCTCCTCGTTCCGATGCGGTTTCGGAACGAGGCGTTTTTTTTTTTCTTTGGCCTCTTCTCGTCGCTCTGCCGCGCGTGGTGCGTGCCCGGGGAGGCGTTCGGGTTTGCGCCGGGGCCTCGGACCTGGCCGGTTTGTGATGTGCAGAGGCGCGGCGGCGGCGGCGCGCGGCCGCGAAGCGGCGCGAGAAGCACAGAACATGGTGTTTCGGTCTGTCTCTTTTCTTTTTTTGGGTAAAGCAGCAAGTGGTGCATGAGCGTGACGGTGGTGCGGGGGTTTTTTTTTGTTGCGCGCGGTGGGATTCCCATCAGTGGATCAGTGGCGTTCGTGCGGTTTATCGGCCATCAGCCATCAGCGCGCGCGCACGGTGAGTAAGTGAGACATGGTGACCGTGACAGCATGGTAGGCACCGCGACGGCGTGTCCGCTGGTCCGCTGGTCCGCTGGGCCCGCTGGGCCTCCACCTCGTCGTTTCTCGTTCTCACGCAATGGCCACGCACCCCGCTCTCGGGTGTGCTCGGCGGGATGCATCTTGAGAGATACTTCTGAATACGAATGCCAGCACGAATGCCACGCACGCAAGCAAACGGTGCCACACCAGCACTGACGTAGGCCGCATCGGGGACGGGCATGCGGGCAGGGCCGGCACATTGTGTTGCCGCCGGCCACCGGTGAGGTGATGGGGTGTGTGTGTGTCCGAGATTCCAGACTCTTCTTCCAGAGCCATGCATTGTGTGTGTTGTGTCGGGAACCCGTCCGCAGTCGCAGTCACAGTCTCAGTCGCCGTCGCAGTCACAGCGCGCCGCCGCAGCCGCTGCACAGTGGCAGCAACATCACACAAACCCTGCCATGCCACGGTTAGATCTGGGACAGGTGCATGCCAAGAAACACCGCAGTTGTTTGGGGGCAGGTGTTTGGGTTGCGTGGGTTGGCCGCGGCCCAAGCAGGCTGAACACAACAGTAGCAGCTCGGTCAAGACGCTGAGCTGAGTGCGGTGCGGTCAGCGGTCAGCGTCCTGCAGACACGGAAAAAGACGGAGAAATGTCCGGCGCGGTGCATGATCCGTGGACCCTTCGGTGCGACGTCCCCAACGGTCCATGGGCTGTTGCTTGCTGGCTTGTCAACTGCGTACGTCCTGGCACAAGCACGGCATGCGCGGGCTCGGCACTGCTGGCGCCAGCGTGCCGCATGCCAGTGTACCAGTGTCATGGTCATGTTTGTCATACCGTCCCTCGCTGGGGCCGACAACGCCTGAAGCCTACCGAAGAACGCAGCATGCATCAATGACCATGGCACGCACGAATGGTATCCCCATTCCCAGCACCATCATCATTATCGGAAGCCAGCATGCCTCAGGCATGATGACGGCGCCTGTCTCAGAACATGGCTCCTCCACCGCTGGCGCGCGCGGGTTTGTCATCTCCACAATAATGAAAAGATCCACTGGCGCCGGTTTTATGCACACGCATGCACCCGGAGTAATGGAGCCGCCGAGGAGCGACGAGTCGACGAGGTGTGCAAGGCAAGAGACCCGCCGGCACGGCCGCAGGACCCCCGCAGGGGAGCTGCGAGTGCAGTTGCCCGCGTACAGCCGCGCAGCAGCAGCAGGAGCTGCATCAGCAGCAAGCATCACAGCGGCCAGCGATCCTGCACGGGGGGACCAGCACTGTTCGGACGCCGTCCAGCTCGTCTCCGGTCCGGTGGCTCTCTCTGTATTTGTTTTATTAATATTTTTTCGGTCGGTCGGGCAGATCGCAGAGGCGCAGAGGGCGCGGAGAGCGCGTCTCGCACCCAAAGGCCACAAAGAGCAATGTATATGCGGGCGAGTACGACGCCTTGTTTTTGGGCAAAGAGCGAGCAGCAGTGAGAGCACACACCCAGGCAACCTCTGCCCCTGTGCGGTGCCGCCGCCGCGCCTACGTGGGTCCCAATGCGTCCATGGATCCATGGGTGGCCGTCCGCCATGGGCCATGGGTCCATCCGCGCGCGCGCCGGCGCGCCCGAGGCGCCCTCCCACGTGTGGTCAAGTTTTGGGGGCCAGCGCCAGGGCTCGTTTGCGGGTACGGTTTGCTCCATCACACGAGTCGCGAGTCGTCTGCGAGAACCCGACAGAGAGGGGCCAGAGCGCCAGAGCTGGCGCCATGTCGGGAACCCAGAGACGCCGGCATGCAAAGCAAGCAAAGCAAGCCAGCCAGCCAGCCCAAGCCAAAGCCGCCAAAGCAAAAGAAGGTGTCGTGGCCGTGGGGTTTGCGGACCGGTTTAGTGTGGAGCAGGTGTGCGAACTGCACGAGAGAGAGAGACAGAGCCCAAGACAGGACAGGACCAATGTGAATCAGTTGGTCAGTTAATGCAGGTGCAAACGAGGCGCGCCAGGCGCAACATGTGTTGGGTGTGCGAAAATAGAGCAAGAGAGCTTTCATTATTTGTATGTATGGTGGTGGTGGTGGTGTGTGTGTGTGTGGTGAGATATCTGGGTTGGCTGGCTCGCGTGCGATGCAAAAAAATGGGTGTGAAAGATGGGGGGGGTGGTCGACAGGGATGGCGCGTATACAACTGTACAGTAAAAAAAAGATGTGGGTCTGATGGGAGGGGTCGAGAGAGACAGATGTGGGTTGTCCGATGGGTGGTGCTTGCACAGGTTTACCATGCGCCGACGCTGAGGGGCTGGCCGCTCATGTGCATGGAGCGCGCGTGCGATGCAAAGCCGTGCTCGAGGTCGACCACAGGCTTGCCGGAAGCCGTGCGGGAGAGAACCTGGCGCTTTGGCCTGGATGCCATGGCGACTGGGGAGGGAGTCTTGCAGTCCTCCGAGGCGGGCGACGACGCTAGTGACGAAGACGCCGAGGCGAGCGCTGGGGGCTGGGGCGAGACGTGCGAAGGGTGGAGGTAGTTGCGCATGGAGGCTGGGGACGGAAATGCACTGCGCTTGTGAGGTGTGGGCACGGGCTTGATGGGGCGCGACATGGAGCAGGTCTCCGGGGTGGTCTCGGGCGAAGGGTAGACGTGGGCAGCGACGGCGGCGGCGACGGCGGCGGCAGCGGCAGACGACGACGAGGGCATCGACGACACCGACTCGGACGAGGCGACACGCGAGGTCTCGCGGGCGACCGCGCGGGGGCCGTGCTCGGCACGGACGCGGGCCTCAAAGTCGGCGACCTCCTCGCCCGACACGTTGAGGTTCCACTCGAGGTAGCCGCACATTTCACGCTCCATCTGGTTGATCTCCTTGAGGAGGAACATCTTCTGGCCGACAATGCACCACGACTGGTTCGAGTACGTGTCGTCGCAGATGACCTTGGAGGCGATCATGAACGCCGAGATGAAGAGGCGGTGGCCCGACGAGCCGCGGGCGGCGGGGAAGCGGGTCTTTAGCCTCTGCAGCAGCAGCAGGGCGGCAAACGTGACGACCGATGGCAAACGCGTGCGGTGGAGAGCGTAGGCGACAAAGTGAGCCAGAGTCGGGGTGGGCGCACCGGGGTGGGTGGCGGTGGGGATGTTGGGGCACTGGAACAGCGAGGTGATAAAACGAGCGCAGAGCACTGCGGTCTCCTCGTGGCCGTAGAATGGGTCCACTGGGCGCTGGGCCGGGCGGGACGAGGGTGCCGACGACGACGCCGAAGCCTTTGCGGCCTTGCGCGACGACGAAGGGGAAGGGGGATTGGGCCTGGCGGCGGGGACAGAGGTGGAAGTGGAAGCCGACATGGTGGTGGTGGCGGGTGGTGGTGGTGGTGGTTGTGAGCGGTTGTTGTAGAGGGAGAAGCCGGGGATTTGGCGTCTAGAAGGGAACTAATAAGGGGGTCAGCATATGATGCGTGGAATGGTGATGGGTGCACGAACAACCATGGTGGTGGTGGTGGGTGGGTGGGGGGGAGGTGTGTGTGTGGGTGTGTGGGTGTGATGTGATGGATGGAGAGAAGAAGAGTGGTGATGGGAGAGGAGGGAGAGAGGGGGGAAGGGAGAGTGGGAATGAGGACAGAAGGAGAGAGCGAGCGAGAGCATATGATGGGAGAAGAAGAAGAAGCATTATGTGGGTGGTGGGGTGGGGAGGGAGGGGCCGGGGGGGGAGGGAGGGCAGAGGGGGTGTGTGGGCCTGGGATGGCCGCCGACCAGAGCCGAAGTGCGGTGGATGGGTCGGTGTCCTGACACACACCCCCGCCCGCCCGCCTGCCCGCGCGGTGTGTGCGCATGCGAGACACACCCATCTATACCCCGCCAGCCAGAGAGCAAACGCCACGGCCGCCGTGTCACCCAGCGCACACACCCCACACACTCGTCTCTCCACCCCCTGTCGGCTCTCAACAGAGCACAGACATGCACAGACCACCTCTCCCATGCACACACACACAACCGTAACACCGTACAGTAGTGCGCACCCGAGAGCCGGCCTCGCTTGGGCTCGCTTGGGCTGGCTGGGCGGGGGCGGGGGCTCTGGGCTCCACCATACACCACACTGCACACTGCACACACAATGGGACCACCATCACTGGAGCCAAGGAACCATCACTCACAAAGAATAGGGGGAGATGCGGGGCAAGTTGCGCGCACTCTCAAAAGTCGATACAATGTGTGTATGTGTGTGTGACTCGATCGATGGGTCGGGGGAGAGTTGGGGGGGTGGTGGTTGTTGGCAAAGAGGTCGATGCTTCGGCCTTTGTATATACACAAGCACAAGCTAGGTGGAAAGGAGCAAGGGGGGTGCAAAGGGAGAGGCGAGGTTGTTCCAAGTTTGTTCCGGGGGGCGGAAGGTCCGGTTAAGGAGCTTTTTAGACCAAGGAAGAAGGACGAGGAGAGCAAGAGGTCGAATGTGTGGAGCGCTGGCGGCTGTCGACGGCTGAATGCAATATAGTACCGCGGATTGGAGTGTGTTGGGCGGCAAGTATAGTGGTGGTGGTGGTAGTGGTAGTGGTGGAGGGTGGTGGTGATGCAGTAGAAGTGGTGGTAGTGTGTGTCTACGGGGTGTGGTGGTTGGGTGTGGGTGTTGATGGGGTGTGTGTGGGTGCGAGAGAAATGGAAAGGGCAGGGGTTCGTGGTCTTTTAAACAAGGACGACCTTTGATGGGTTGCCCGAGCAGTAAGCTGCTGGTACGGGTGGTGGTGGTGGTGCTTGATGGGACGCCGTCGGGGCAGTGTGGGTGACAGCAGGGCGGGAGGGGGAGGAGGGCAGCAAGTGAGAGGGCATTAACGAGGGGGCCAGCCGGGAGCTCGGAGGAAACTGGGCAAACGAAGAGGCCTGTCTCTCGTCTCCCGCCCTCCCTTGCCTCCTGCCCCCTGCCCCCGCTTAGAACCGCACCGCTCACTTTATGACCCCCGCGAGAAGAGAGAGCGAAAAGGGTTGAACCAGTATACAGGGACAGCAGACGACGCCGGAGAGACGACTACTCTGATCCTCTGACCGAATGCCTGGAGACTCGTAACCCCCTCTGCTTCCCCTCCTTGCCCCCCCCCGTGGACCCACCAGACGAACCCACCCTTCCCCTCACGGACCCCACTGGCCACACCCTGCCTCTGCCCCCCTGGGTGCACGGCAACCCACATACCCTGCCACCACATGTCGCCGACGAGAGACACCTTCCCTTCGACACCACCCACCTACCCGACCATACTCCGCTCGGCCGTATCATTTCCCCAGCCATCACACGCGCTTTCGAAAAATAATCCCAAACCAAACCCCCGAAATCGGCACCCGGGCCATTACAAACCACACTACATCATCGGCATGCTACTGGATAGATGGGTCCATGGGTGTATCACAGTTGTTCCGTGTCGGGTCGATACACAGGTCACCGCATCCCCCCCCCCCGTCCGTCCGTCCTACTGCGCACCACCACCTCGTCATCGTGTCTTGGACAACACGCACACCTCGTTTTGGATATCTCCATAGCGTGCATGCCGTGGCACAGCATACACGCGCGAGCGAGCGAGCATGCAAGCAAGCAAGCAAAGCAAAGCAAGCAAGCGCCGACGCGTCGGCAGCATCGGGACGCGCGTGTATTTTTCGTAGTTCCCATGCTTCCCATGCACCCATACGCACATGCAGGCGCAAGCCCCCCGTCCTAATGGATATCACTCGCACGTCGGGTAGATTGGATGGGTCGCGTTCCTCCCGCTGCTGCCTAATGAAGGGACCAGAGCGTCGTGTAACTGTGGCTCCATATTGGCAGGCAAGCACCGCAGTCACCCGGATTGGGGGTGGCACCGGGGACCTTTGCTGGACCTGCGGTGGTCGCCGGTACGCGTGCCACCAAGCTGCTAGCTGCTGCGACTCTCACACACACACACACGTACACGCGCGCGCGTCGCTCTTTCGCGCACATACAGTGGCGGCGCCGCAGCTCACAGGCTCTGTGGTTCCTGCCGTACCATATGTTCTGCGCCTGGCATCGCATGTGTCGATGCCTGCAGCGTCCCTCTCCCGTCCATCTGGACTCGCCTCTCCCTGCCTTCCAGCCTCTCCAGTGCTGGCCACTGGCCACTGGTCCAGTCCCAGGTTTCGTCTCACGCCTCCTTTTTCCTTTCGGCCCTTTTCCCAAACAATCCCCATGGCCCCATCGAATGCTTGCACTGTCCTAATGAGACACCTAGACAAGTCCCACACGGCTAGCACATGCGCGAGCCCGGTTTCGAGGGTCGCGGCGAGTGGAATGCGCAGTAAATGTCAAGCCCCGGTAAGGCTGGACGCTGGCCGGCCGACGTCCAGCCCGGCCACACAGCCCATGCTCCAGCCATGGGTATAGCCCAAAACCTGGCTGACGTTGGCGCCACTTTTTAGGTCGACGTTTGGCAGAGAGGCGGAAAGGATCTGCCGATGCAAACGCCAGGGAAGGAAAACATCTGTCCACACGCCACGTCTGTCCAGAGAGACCCTGTTGCGCAACGTCGTCGGCAATGTGGACTCTAGCAGTCCGTCCGACCGGAGAACCAAACCGCAGTACACCCGTGTACCCGTGGGTACTGCGCCAGCCCGCGACAAACGCTGACACGACACTCGCGTGTTCCAAAACATCACACACAGGCCAACCGGCTTGCTCGGTGGCCGCACTCTGTAGCGGGCCCTCCAGGGTCGCGCGACCGACACGGTGTCTGTAAGGGCCACCACCACCCGCGCACACCCGTGTGCTTCTTTCTGGCTTACCCTCTCTGTCCCATATGTTGACGATGCCGCCCGCCGGCCGGTACACGATGCCTGCCTGCACCGTCGCCACGGGCCCCGGTACACGTACGATACATGGGTTTTCGCACGCATATGTCAGCAGCCGTGTCCTGCTGTTCTGCTGCCCCTCCCCCGCGCGGCCGCAGCCCCCCCCCCCCCCCCCCCCCCCCTTCCCCAATGTTCTATAGCATGCATATGCACACGCATGGAAGCGTCCCCCGTCAGGAATTCAGAGTTTGCCGGACAGGCGGTTGTGGGTGTCGGGTCCCTGTGCCGCAACTGCCGCAACGGTGGACCCACGACATGTGATTGCTCAGACGCGCGGCCAACAGGTCACAGATCACAGATCTCCTGCTTTTTTCGGCGAGTCCCGCCCGCCGGCCTAGCCACCTTTCACACTTGTCGCTGCTGCAGCAAGCGCTCAGCACATGCATATGGGATCTGGCGCCAAGAAAACAAGCACAAGCACAAGCACCAGCACGCGCTATACGCGCGCGCTCATCGCCGCCTCCGAGCTTGCCAAGTACAAGCTGCGGACGGTGCCCCCGCGCTGGATACCCGCCACACATTGCGTCGCATTGCATCGCATCCCCGCGGCCTCCTCCGCTGCCTTCCCTGCTGATTGCTAAGATTGGTGGATATCGGTCACACGAGCTGCCCAACACCCGTGCGCGTATCCCGCGACCGGACTTCTGAGCGTGTGGGTTACTGCGACGTGTGCATGTAGGGTACCTGTAAGCTGCACCTGTGGTTCTGCCCCATGAAACTCGTGCTGCTTCCTGCGTCCTGCTGCAGTGTTCCTGTGCGTGGCGTGGCTTGCAAGCGATCGTGTGACGCTTTCGACGCTGGGCCGTTGGGATCGTGTGGCAGTCGTGGCCGCCGATCATGACTGCGGTTCATGACCCGCTGCCTCAGTTTCAGGCCACAGTGCGCACCCCCACACACACCGCCCTACACAGGCATATTGCACACCCCACATGTCCATGCTGCTCATACCTGTGCACATGTGTCTGTGTCCTTTTTTTTCTTTGCTGCTAGCGCGCAGCAAGCTATGCTGCATGGTGCATGCTGCCGCGTCCACCCCCAGCCACCTCGCCCCCCCTTTCTCCTCCCTTGGGAAGGCATGCCACCGTCCACTACTCATGCCCTTTCCCTGTCCCTCAACCACCTCGCACCCGCCCGCCTCTGTCGGCGCCATCCCTGCTCAGATCGCCGTCGCCGACTTTGCCAGCACTTAGGCGCGCTTTTGCTCCCCCTGTGCAGCCTATGAAAACGTGGCCTAAACACCCAGCCTGTCAGTACCAGCGTATGTACCCCCGCCATGTCACCAGTCGCCGCGGTTCCTGCTGCAGATGGGTAATATCCCCCCCGGATCGCAGGCAATTCCCGCGACGAGGCTGACCCTTGACTTTTGTCGCGTGCATTTCGGCGTCCCATTTCCCCCGGTACCCAGCAGTGTCTCCCATCATACAGTCCTGTACAGTACTGTACATGCACCCCACGTCCGTCCGTTCGTCCGCGTCCGCGGACACAGCCGTGCATGGCCAGCGCGGCGTGGTGCCACTCGTTTGCCACACCAGGCAGGCCACGACCCTGCGTCTCGGTCATCTCGATGCCCCATTGCTCTGGAAACAGACCACCAGCGCTCCGTCCGCATGTGCCGTGCCATCCGGTGGCCGGTGGGCCCGGGTGGC